ATGCTAGAAAATTCATAAGGGTACTTGTGTTGCATGAAACCGCGCAATTGTCATTCAAGTGTGATAGCGCTGAAAGCTGAAAATTGGCCGTGGACAGGAAGGGGGGGAAAGTGTCCGGACTGGAAGGGGGGGGGTGTGAAAGTGTCCGGACTGGAAGGGGGGGGGGAGTGGTCGGACTGTCCGGACTGGGAAGTGGGGGGGGGAAAGTGTCCTCAGAACTGGAAGGGGGTGAAAAGTGTCCGGACTGGAAGGGGGGGGGGAAAGTGTCCGGACTGGAAGGGGGGGGGAAGTGTCCGGACTGGAAGGGGGTGTGAAAGTGTCCGGACTGGAAGGGGGTGAAGAAAGTGTCCGGACTGGAAGGGGGGGGGGAAAGTGTCCGGACTGGAAGGGGGGGGGGGGGAGTGTCTGGACTGGAAGGGGGGAGAAGTGTCCGTGTCAGGACTGGAAAGGGGGGGGGGGAAAGTGTCTGGACTGGAAGGGGGGGGGAAGTGTCCGGACTGGAAGGGGGGGGGAAAGTGTCCAGACTGGAAGTGGTTAAAGTGCCATATATATGGAATACATGTAAGTACACCAACACAGACAGGTTGAACATAGGCAGGCATTATCGACACCCGCATTTGGTGATGGGAGCACATTTGAATACACATTGATGAGGAGGTGTTATTGTAGGTAAAAATGACTTTTACATGTAGTACCTCCAGACTCCCACAGCATTAGCGCAGCATATAGAATTTCCTTGTACAAAAGTGTGTTTGTTCCAATAAATGTCTCGTGCTTTCAGAGTGGAATCCTCGGGGATTATAAAAATTGTTGTCAAAGAAGAGTACAAAGAGGAGGATGAGGAGTATGGAGTGATGAAGCAGGTTTCTGAGAGACAGAACGCTCTCTACAAGGAGCCATCAAGTAACAGGAACCCACCAGAGAGATGTCCCCGTCCTCTGTAATCCACACAGGAAGGTCACACCATCCCTCACCATCATCAGGTAGATGAGGAACAATCATGATAGTATTATTAGGATCTGTACATTATCTGCATTGTTACCATTGATGGCATTTATATTATCATTAGGATCTGTAAAATATCTATTATTACAATTTGTCATTTTTCTTGTATTTTCAGAGAGTGGAAACCTGAGAGATCCTAAAATTGAGATAAAGACAGAAGAAGAAGAGGCGTATGTGAGGGATGATCAGCAGTCTATGGAGGAGGATGGAATAACGGGGACATTTATAGAGGAGGACACTCCTACAGAGATCAGCACAGGTGGGTCATGAACACTAAATCCATTCCTCCACCCATACTGCTCACTGATTGGTCCAGAGTAGGGCGGGGAACTGGGTGATATCAGCTGTAATCCCCTGGTCACTTTCCTGAGCTGTGTTCCCCGTCCTGTATTCCTGGATTTCTCTCGGATAATCTTCCTTCTCTGTGCTGCAGACACAATTTATGTATCTAGAATGTATTTATGGAGATTTTGAGGTTCCACTGGCAGAAAAGTGTTGCTTTTTTCCCATAGGGCATTGCTCAACCTAGGCACCAGGGTTATGAGCCTTGAATCTCATGTCCAGGTCTAGCAAGATCTCTGTCAGAGCAATTCTGGGTTTCAGAGTTACTTTTTCTGTAGTCTGCTGGCTGTGCCGGGTGGAGGGATATGTCTGTATAGTCTCAGACCAAGTCACTGAGTGCAGTCTCAGGAGTAGATGGGAGGCAGCGGGGTGGGATCTCTGCAACTTGTCTCAGTTAAATAAACATTTAGGCTACCACTGATTGCTGAATGCCATTAATGTGAGCCCTGACCCTTATATGTTATCAATTATATTGCATGTTTCATACCCCTGACCCTGCACTTATATACTCTATGTTGTACATTACATACTCCTGATCCCCCTGCACTATATACTCTATGTTGTACATTAACATACTCCTGACCCCTGCACTATATACTCTATGTTGTACATTACATACTCCTGATCCCTGCACTATATTATTCTGTTGTACATTACATACTCCTGCACTTTATACTCTGTTGTACGTTACATACTCCTGACCCCTGCACTATATACTCTATGTCGTACATTCATACTCCCATGACCCCCTGCACTATATATACTCTATGTTGTATATTATATACTCCTGACCCCTGCACTATATACTCTATGTTGTAACGATTACATATTACTCCTGACCCCTGCACTATACACTTCTATGTTGTACATTACATACTCCTGATACAAAACAGTTAGGACTATATAGTATATTCTACTCTATGTTGTACATTACATAGTCCTGACTTCTGCTGTCTACCCTGCACCCATTGTTATATACATGCCTCTCCTGCAAAATTAAGGGAAAGACTTTGTGTAATCGAGTCTAGTATGAAGTCAATGACCTTCCGGGATATTGACTCTGGTGGTACAGTAGCATAGGGGGTCCTGTTCATGCACTATATACAGCTGCTTTTGTGTTAATGAATCCTTACATAGGTGCACTAGATGGGCATCTTACAATGACTCCTGACCCCCAAAACATAATGGTTGTTGCTACAGGTGGAGGCCACTGACATTTTTCTACTCTACTGAATCTTTTCTGATTGTTTTCACTATGTTTTTTACTACATTCCTGGCCTACCAGGTCACTATGTACTACTGTGAGTAGCATGAGGCCATACCTGGACCCTACAGAGGTTGTACAGGCAGTCCAACATCCTCCAGGTGTCATTGCCAGAGGTTTGCTGTGTCTAGCACAGTCTCAAGATCATGGAGGAGATTCCAGGAGACAGGCAGTTCCTCTATATACCTGGACAGGGCCGTAGAAGGTCCTTAACCATCTGCAGGACTCATATCTGCTCCTTTGTGCAAGGAGGAACATCTATGACGCAGCTCTGACCCCTACAAATGTCCTCTGAGGCACATGGTGTGTCCCTGAATGTCACTGACCAAACTCTCAATCATTTAGCGAGTGCAAACAGAAAGAGGTTTCACTATATGAGGATTCATGGAGGAGAAGTGAGGGTGACGACTCGTAGGCTCTAGAAGGCCGCTACACCACTCACTAAGACCGGTTACTCTGTGTACAGGATTTGCATAATCACTCTCCACTCCACAGGCCCCTCCACTGCACATAAATCAGATACACCATTGTTAGCATGAGGATACATCCTGAGGAGTCCTCTAGTGGGTACATGTGCTCACTGCCCGGCACCATAGAGCTGGATTGGCATTTGCATTGAACACCAGAATTGGCAGGTCACCACTGGCACCCTGTGCTGTTTCACAGATGAGAGCAGGTCCCCCCTGAGCACTATGGACAGACGTGAACATTGGAGAAGCCGTGGAGAACGTTCTGCCTGTAACACATATAGCATGACTGTTTTGGTGGGGGGTCATACTGATGACCACTGGGGAGGCATATCCTGGAGGGACCACAGACTCTGACCCCTGCACAATAGCACCCTGACTGCCATTAGGTATGGGATGAAACCTCCTTGACCCATTGTCAGACCCTAATACAGGTTTGTACAGTGGTCCTGGGTTCCTGACCTGGTGCCAGTGGGTCCCTGGGTTCCTCCTGGTGCACGACAATGCCCGGCCTCATGTGGGGAGAGTATGAAGGAATTGATACATTGAATGGCCCTCACACTGCGCCTGACCTAAATCCAATAGAACCCCTCTGGGATGTCATGTTTACGGTCCCCCCTGACGCCACCAGGGTTGCACGCACTCAGACTGTCCAGGAGCTCAGTGATGTCCTGGTCCAGATCTGGGAGGAAATCCCCCTGGACACCATCCGTGGTCTCATTAGGAGCCTCCCCCAACATTGTCAGGCATGCATACAAGCACATGGGGCCATACAAACTACTGAGGACCATTCTGAGTTGCTGCAATGACATTTACAGCACAATGGATTCGCTGCTGCATCATTATTTCACTTTGATTTCAGGGTGTCTTATTAATTCAGTCCTCTGTAGGTCGATCATTTTCATTTCCATGAAACAATGGGCGTCCTTACATTCCTAACACATTACCCGTGTATCCGTATAGAGATCGGCAGGAGATTGACGTCCTGCATTGAGATCTGATGGGTTTTCAAAGTGTTCCTTTATTTTTTTGAGCTGTGTATAAGCATATATGTATTCTCTTTGGTTACACCCCATTTCCTACCAGCTGGACATTTTATATCGGATGATGTGATTGGAGCACAGACTTTTACATGGTGATAATAATGTGATAACATCTCCAACTTTGGACCCTTAAAACTGAAAGTGATAATGAGGGAGGAGTCAATACCTCCAATGATGGTGGTCTTCAGGATCAGTCCAGTCTTCATCTTGGTTGTTTCTCCCCCCATCCTCACTCTCTGACCTCTGGTGGGGCTCAGCCCTGCTGTTCTTCATGACTAAATCATGGACTAAATAAGGAAGTGCAGTACTTCTTGTGTTGGGAAGATGGTGATGAGTAATAGAGGGGGTGGGGACCCTCGTCCTATAATCCCCTCATCACTGTCCCTCCTATAAAAGACAGTTCTGGTTGTTTCCTCACTCTCTGACTAAGGTCCATGAATAAAGAAATGACCTGGTAGGAGATCAGAGGAGCCATTTCCTAGTTCCCTTGAGGGTGGAATTGTAAAGCTCCTCAGAGACCAAGCTGCCTGATGTGGGCGGAGTCCTGGTTTAGGGGAACCAATCAGCTCCTGTCTAGTAATCCTCTTTGTCTTTGTATTTTAGTCCATGGCCGGGAGATGAGGAAAACTCAGAGGATTGTCTCACTTTGTCTCTTCCAGACTGGAAAGTAGAAGATGAGGACATCATCACACAGTATAGTCCAGGAGAAAACCCGCTCCCTCCAATGTCCATCCGGCACCACACAGTGTAGATGGGACCATCGTATTCCTCTTCTCCTGCAGACCCTCAAACTTTGCGGGACCAAAGCCGGCCTTCCAACAGGGAAGAGTTTCTCCTGTACTGAGTGCGGGAAATGTTTCAATTTTAAATCCAATCTTGATGTGCATAAAAGATCTCACACAGGTGAGAAGGAGTATTCATGTACTGAGTGCGGGTAATGTTTTCTAAAAACATCACAACTTGTCTCACATCAGAGGTCTCACACAGGGGAGAAGCCATTTTCCTGTTCTGAGTGCGGAAAATGTTTTTCGCCAGAGGTTCATATCTTTGCAGACATCAGAGATTGCACAGGGAGAGAAGCCACAATGCCTGTCTGAGTGCGGGAAATGTTTTTCAAAAAAGGCAAATCTTTACACACATCAGAGATTGCACACAGGAGAGAAGCCGCATGCCTGCCCCTGAATGCGGGAAATGTTTTTCACAGATGTCCATTTCTTTACAGACATCAGAGATTGCACACAGGTGAAAAAAACCGTTTCCTGTTCTGAGTGCGGGAAATGTTTTGTACAAAAAATCACTACTTACAGCACATCAGAGGTCTCACACGGGGAAAAGCCATATTCTTGTTCCGAGTGCGGAAAATGTTTTTCAAGGAAGTCCAGTCTTTACTTACATCAGATATCTCACATAAGGGAGAAGAAACTTTTCTTCTCTGAGTGAGGGAAATGTTCCGCACTGAAGTCCTGTCTTCCTGTACATCGGGGTCCCACACAACCCTGGAGGTGCATTAGCACCTTTGCCAGTGCGGGCAGTTGACAAGGAAATGTCTTCTAGATGAATGTTGGTGGACATCCCAGCTCTCGTGGGGAAGAAGCACACCCTGATATACACCTCAGATATACTCATGGCTGATCTTCATCATGGAAGAAACAGTTCATAAGGAGATCAGAGGTCACCAAGACATGGATGAAGTGTGGGACCGGGTTGGCCATTGATAGCAGGAGAAGAATAAAAATGGAGTCATCACCTTTCATTGGCTGAGTACATTTTGTGGCGGAAGCTTTTGCAAAAGATTAACATTTGTTTTTTACTCATTCACACAGAAGGAACGTTTTTCACGGGCATATAATTTTTTTATGAATAGACCCCTAATTGTCAGGAAACGTTTCTATAACGATTGGGAGTATGTAGTCGTTCAATGAACCAACCTCCTGCAGGCTGCAGCTAGGGGGCGCTCTAGTTTCTAGAGTGTAACCCCAGGAGTGTGATTCCAGGTAGCTCCCATTAACCTCTCTCACATGTTAAAAACAGATTTCGGGCCTGTTGATTGGCTAAAGGCCCACAAACAAACTATTTCCTGAAAGCAGAGGCCCCGGAGGAATAAAAATGGTGGTCCATGGTTAAGGTGTTCCTAGTACACCAGATTACACTTTCATAACCCGGGAATTTTGCCCTCCTCCTTTCCCCCATTTTCTTGTTTGGGATCTTTTTCTACAATACTTTGTTATTAATAATGTACAGTGGCCTTGAAAAAGTTCTTCACACCCCTTGAATTTTCCCAACATTTTGTCATGTTACAACCAATGTTGTCAATGTATTATATCGGGAAATGAGATGTTGAATGGGACCGACGCAAAAGTGGCCACATAATTGTGAGTGGAAGGAGATGAGAAATGGTTTCAACATTTGTGGAATGATAAAATCTGTGATTTGTATTCAGCCCCAGAGTCAATAACTTTGATAGGAACCCCCTTGGGCTGCCAATTCCAGCTGAAGTCTTTTTGGGATGTCTCTTTGCAATTAGAGAGGAATTTCTGCCCATTCTTCTTTGCAGAACGCACCAAAAAGCTCTGTTCAGATTGGATGCGAGGGCGTCTTATGTGACAGCAATTTTCAGGTTGGACCACAGATTCTCATTGGATTTTGGTCTGGACTGTGACTGGGCCATTCTAACACAGGAAGATGCTTTGATCAAAAACCCATTCCATTGTAGCTCTGGCTGGTTTTGTTCCGGGTCATTGTCGTGCGGGAAGGGGGAAACCTCCCCCCCAATCTCAAGTTTTTTGCAAAACCCTCCTGACGGGTTTTTTCTTCTAAGTTTGGGCTCTGTTTTTTTTGGCTCCATCCATCTTCCCAATCAACTTTTGGCCCAACCCTTTCCCCTGCCCCTGCTAAAGGGAAAAGCATCCTCAAAACATGATGCTGCTCCCCCAAACCAAATGTTTCACAGTGGGTTTGGGGGTTCAGGGTGATTTGGCAGTTTTTGTTCTTCACCACCAAACTTTTTTCCTTTTACCCAAAAATTTTAAATTTTTGGGCCCCAATCGACCAGAGCCCTTCTTTCCACACATTTGCTGTGCCCCCCAACATGGCTTTTTTACCAAAACTGCAAACAGGATTTTCTTAGGGCTTTTTTCCAAAAGGGCTTTTTTCCCTTCCCCAACCCCCATACGGGCCCAAAATTTGTGGTGCACGACTAATATTTGCCTTGGGCCCAGATTCTCCCACTGAGCTGGGGAATCTCTGCAGCTCCCCAGATTTCCCCCAATCCCCTTTTGGCTCCCTTCTCTGATAAATTTGCTCTCCTTGTCCAGCCTGTAAATTTTTAGGTGGAGGGGCCATGTCTTGGTGGGTTTTGGGCAGTTTTGTAAATTCTCTTTCCTTTTTTGGAGAGGGTTTTAACAGTGCCCTTTAGAATGTTCAAAGTTTGGGGGTTTCTTTTAAAACCCTAATCCTGCTTTAAAACCTCCCCCCAAATTTTAATCCCTGCCCGCCCGGGTTTTGGGCTCCTTGGGCCTTCATGATGTTGTTTGTTCCCCAATTTTTCTCAAAACAAACCTCTGGGGGCTTCACAAAACACCCTGTATTTTATCTGAAAACACAGGGACACACGGGTGGGGATTATTTACTAATTGGGTGATTTTCTAAAGGGCCCAATTTGCATCCCCCTGGGATTTTATTTAGGGGTACCAGAAAAAAAGGGCTTAAATTAAAATGAAAGGCAACACTTTTCAAATTTATTTTTTAAAAAAAATGTTGAAAAAACCTTTTCTCTTTTTCCTTAAACCGTCAAAATGATGTCCACTTTGTTTGGGTCTATCACGGGGTGTCAAAACTGGCGGCCCTCTAGGCTTTTGCCAAACACAACCCCTTCATGCCTCTCCCTTTGGGATTTCATGCTTGAAACTGCCCAATCTTAAATTGCCTCAGGGGAAACTTTTAGTTTGGCAACAGCTGGGGGGCCGCCAGTTTGACCCCCCATGCTTATACACCCAAAACCAATAAAATACAGGGATTTTTTTTGGTTTATGAATACTTTTTCAAGGCGCTGAAACACTTTTTGTTTGTAGACAAATGAAAAATGACTCCGCCTCCACTTTGCAGAAAAATTGATTTCCTGCAATGGGACGCCGAAAAATTTTTCCAAAAATTTTTCTTTTTTTACTGCGCTTGTTAAATTTTAAATTAAAAATAAAAAAAAGTTTGAACAAAAAAAATTGGTTTTGTGTGTAATGACGGCAAACTTTGATGCTCAAAAAAATTTCTATGGGGAACGTTTTAAGAGGTCTCAGTTTAAGGCAATCTAAAAGGTCCAAGTGCAGGGGTCGGAGTATATAAATTTCCCCAGGGGACAGAGGCAGTGGCAAGGGGATATCAATACAGCCCCGGGTACAGAGTGCAGTGGCAGGGAGTTTAATCATATACAGCCCAGGGGTAAGAGTGCAGTGGTCAGGAGAATATATATACAGCCCAGGGGCAGAGTGCATGGTCGGAGTATATCACATACAGCCCCCCATACAGATGCATGGTCGGATATATCAATAAGCCGGGTACAGAGTGCAGTGGGCAAGATATCACTACAGCCCCGGGGCGAGTGCAGGGTCAGGAGTATATCAATACAGCCCCGGGTGAAGGTGCGTGGTCAGGGTATATCATATACACCCAGGGTACAGAGTAAAGTGGTCGGATATACATATACAGCCCAGGGTACAGACTGCAGGGTGGGTATTGAGCTGTTTTTGCTGGAAAGGGCCTGTCCTTTGGTGGGTATTGGCTGTTTTTGCTGGGTATTGGGGCTGTCTCTTTGCTGGATATTGAGCTTCCTTGCTGGATAGGGAATCTCTCTTGTTGGGTAGGGGACTATCTCTTTTGAATGGGGATTCACTTGCGGGATAGGGGCTTTATTTCTTCATATTTGGGGGAGTTTTTGCTGGATAGGGGGATGTCTCTTGCGGGTATAGGGCTGTGCTTGCGGATAGGGGTTGTCTCTTTTTGGATATGGGAATGTCTCTTGCGGATATTGGGGTGTCCCTTTTATGGATATGGCCTGTTCTTATGGGATAAGAGGCTGTATCTTTACTGGGCCTCTCGGATTTTCATCTATTTTTCGGGTGGGGCTGTCTCTTTCTGGGTTGGGGCCCTTTTCTTGCTGGAAAGGGTCCTTTTTTGGGGGGCCTCTTTTTTGGATAGGGGCTGTTCTTTGTTGGAATGGGGCGTCCTTTTTTGGATTGGGTTGCTCTTTGTTGGGTATGGGGAGTCTCTTTGTTGGGTATGGGGGAGGTCTTTTTCTGGATTGGGACGTTCTCTTTTTCTGGGTTTTGGGGCATTTCCCAAATTTTTTTGGTATGGGGATGCTCTTGCTGGTATGGGGGTGTCTTTTGCTGGGATTTGGGGGTCTCTTTGCAATATGGGGGGGGGTGTCTTTTGCTGGATATGGGGGTCAGTACAGCCTCCATACACAAGCATAGTCATTTGGTGTCATATTCCCCGCCC